GGTCCTGGAGGGCCGGTGTCCTGCAGAGTTTAGCTCCAACTTGCCTCAACACACCTGACTGGAAGTTTCTATGCCTAGTTAAGAGCTTGATTAGCTGGTTCAGGTGTGTTTAATTAGGGTTGGAGCTAAACTCTGCCGGACACCGGCCCTCCAGGACCGAGTTTGGACAGCCCTGGTTTACACAGTACAAGCATAATTAGTGAGAATTCAAATACTTAAAATGCACATTAGTGAATAAGTTATTTATTATGAGTTATTTTGAGGGCATTGTGTTTAGTGTCAAAAAAGCAAGATCTGTTGGGAATAGTGTGTTTGAAGAAAAGGTCGCATCGATTAACACCGACACGAGCATAAATGACACTGTTTTCTTTTTACAGTTTTAAAAATTGTTGGAGCCGTTATGTAGGAGATAATCCACAGCTAGGATGGTTTGTTTTTTAACGCGGTGTCAATTTTTTTTATTTTTTTTTTATTTTGGCTAATTCTTTGGTGAAAAGTATATATTAAATTTGATTAAAAGTTATTTAAATAAAAAAAAGACCCAGTTTTCCTAAAAACATCTAAAACTGAATTTGGATTAAATTGATTAAAAACCTTTACAATGGTATCAACACACAAAAACAATAATTTTCTCAAAGCAGTACAAATATTACAATTCAATTCAATAAAATGTATGACAGATAGAAAGCTCTGATATGTACATATCAGAAAACAAGCCATTTTTGTTAGTTATTTTATCTAGGGGTTATTAGATCTAGAATTTAGCATGAAGGCTAGAGAGAGAGATAGTCAGGATTAGTGGTCGACCGATATATCGGCCGATATTTGCCATTTTTTAAATATCGGCATCAGCCGATAAGTTTTCCAGTTTGGCCGATGCGGTCTAGGCGGGACTTTTATTTTGACGGCGCTGAGAACGGCAGCGCCTGAGCACACAGTGCTCACATTCTCCCTCTTGTTCCGGTCATCGTTCAGTTCTGTCTAATATGGATTATCTAATACGTCTGTCTAATAATCAGAAAGAACGGTTAAACAAAGGAATTGAAATGTATACAAAGTATTATAACGATTGCTTTTATATTAGTAATAGAAAGGCAAACATTATAATACTTTCTTGTTTGCCGTCAGCATTCAGCAAATACGCATTTATATCATTTAAACAAATCTTTGAATGACTAATGAACATTTAATTTCACAAAGCTTGCAAACTTAGTTGGATCCAGTTGTGAGATCTTGTGAAGTGTGCATGTGTATCCTGCATGATCGCGTGTTCTCTGCGTGATGGTCGGTCCGTGTGAATTGAATGCTGACAGGAGGAGAGTTCTGCTTGACTGGAGACGCGCGATCGACAAACTTTAAACTCGTGATTTAAAATTATGCTGCGCTTTATGCATTTGCCCACTGTCATATTCATGTCATTTCCACTGTGTGCTGTATGTAAAATGTGTTACCTTGGCTTTATTTGAAAAAAATATGATTAATGCACACAAACTTCCCAGAATACTGAGTGCTCTGTTGGTTACGGTGTTTACTTATAAATATTTAATAAAAATATAATTTAATTTGTGAAAAATACTTTGTCATCTAAAGTATAAGTATGTTTATTTAACATTTATTTTTTAATCAATTTTCAAATGATTTCAAATTTCTTAAATATTAATTGAAAAATAAAATTATATCGGCTTTATATCGGCCACCGTGCTTTCCAAGATAGCGGCATCGGCTGTCAAAAAAAACAATATCGGTCGACCACTAGTCAGGATTGTAGTTCATCTCTGGCCAAGATAATTCACATGAACAGATTACAGAGAGTATGGTAATAGTCATTTTTAATTATTATACATAGCAATTATAATATATACATGGCGTGACATGTGATCTGATAATTACAGACAGTATCTGTTGTGTTTAGGGTTGAACTGACCCCATCCATCAGCTCCATCACCTCCTTTAGCGTGGGGGCCGCTGAGGGAGAGAGAAAGCCGGAGCGGTCCATCACCCACGTGGACACATTCGAGTCTCCAGCTTCACTTTTGGGGGTCACTGGAGCTTTCGGTGTCTTGGGAGATGCAGTTTTGTGTGGAGCAGAGGTGACTTTCTCATGTGCATCCGGATCCTGTGAACACACCAGAGCGCAAGAAATGAATACATATGATAATTTATTAAACACAGGTTTTAAAAATGGATCTCAACCACACATCGTCATACGAACAACCAAACATGGCGATCACGGATTTAAGTGCCACAAGCTTTATAAAACCCACTGCATCATGCTCGATGTGCAAATTTCTAAGGCCTCTAAATGATCAGCATGGACAAAACTTTGCTGAAAAACCCGTTGCACACAATCTCTACTTCTGTCCTCTGACTGATAGTATAGACTTTTTAAATCAAGAGTTGTAAAGTGTATACAACTCTAAAAACATCCACCTTCAGCTCGTGCTTCACGTGTCTTTTTGCTGCAAAACCTTTACTGATTTTTATAATGTAAACAATAAGAATAACTTTGATATTAGTAATAGTTCAAGATGAACACTAACTGGACTGAAGCAGCTTTGCTTTACTTGATTATCCAGACATCATTTTTTGCTAAAATGTGAGTACCAAATATGATCATCAAGCGTTTGAGGAACGTTTGTTTGTTCGTCTCTCAATCACTGTATAGCATTGCATTTTATGTTTTGAAACTACAAAGCTTTAATCATAAAACTAAGCATTGAAATATCATCTTACTTATTGAGAGATAGAGTGACGACTGATATTTAGATGGTGTTTATGCAAGCATCTGCTATACTGTTATAAAGATCTCCCACAATTACATTACAAGCCATTTCGTCTTACTTTTTGGCCATATAAATATCAGCAACTTCACCAAACTGAATATTTTTGCTCAACTGTTATTTATTCCTCAGGTATAAGCTCCATATTCTCCCGATATCATACTATATGAGCTGTAAAAGCCTCATGTATTAAATATGACACTAAAAAAAAAACATATACAACCTTTTGCAAAAAAGATTCTGTCTAAAGGTTCAATAAACTATTCCATAAAATAAAAAGATTCCTGCCAGGCTTCACAGGGTTAAATCTAACACAGCAACAGAGTTCAGTTGGAGTCAGACATGGACAGAGTGACTCTGTTATGGTCTTCATGCATCACTGACAAACTATTTTCCTGTTTAACACTGTAAAGCTGCTTTGACACAACCAGTATTGTATAAAGCGCTGTACAAATAAAGGTGATTGAAAGGATGATTCAGTTACAGTGTTGCAAAGAGCCTCTGAACAGTAATGCAGGAAACACTGTCGGAGCATTCTAACTGTACAACTGCATACTCCAGAACAATTAAAGTCACGAGCAATTTTTTTTTTTAAATGAAAAACGGTTCTGATTAGGATGTCAAAGACAGGCCTCACGCTGACTTTGTGTAATAGACCTTGCAATTAAAATCAATGAAGATGTCATTATACCCTCTTCAAGTCTTCGACTGGTAATCCCTCACTGGTCCCATCATAGCAAACCTCCACCTATAAAACACAGATCAACAGAGTTGAGTCAAACCTTCCCAAGCATCACAGTGCAGTCAATCCCCGCTCAAGTACCTGCCGCTGACTGACCTCTTCACTCTCTGGCTGCTGGAGCACCTGAAGGGTCGTGTCCACGCCGCTGTAGTAACCTGTTTCTACTTTACGCTTGATGGTAGAGTTCCAGTGGTTCTTGACAGCATTGTCCGTTCTGAAGAGAAAAATAAAAAAATCTTCTCAACTTCACAATATACCAGTCTATGGAAGTTCGCAATTGTTAGATAAAAAGTCAGTATTGCGACACAAACTCACAATTATTAGAAAATGTCAGAATTGTGAGCTGACTTTTTGTCTGGACTGTATAACTCACAATTGCAAGTTTATACGTGAGAAACAATTCTGAATTGAGAGATAAAGTTGCAATTATCTTTTCTTTTTTTTTTTAAATTCCATGGTAGAAACAAGCTTCCATACCAATCAGACATGTGTCAACATGTTTTAAAATATACAATATTATAAAATATTTTCAACAGAAGCTTCTAGATCCCTGCATGCCATTACATTCAGCCGCGCTTCATTCAGCTGATTCTGAATACAAGAACATTGTTGGACGTGAGCGTAAACCAGCCCAACTATATGAGGCTTCCCTAAAAGCCAAGTACTCTTTCAGACAACCCATCACTCCTAAAATCTGCAGTGCGTTCACCTTCCAGGAAGCAGTTTGGCGATCTCGGCCCAGCGGTTGCCCAGCACACAGTGAGCCTTGTAGATGATGAGATCTTCGTCTGGGGTCCAGGAAGACTTCTTGACGTCTGGATTGAGGTGGTTGTGCCAGCGCTCTCTGCACTGCTTCCCAAGACGGCCCTTCAGGTGCTTGGCCACCATCGCCCACTGCTTGTTGCCGTACGTTTTCACGAGCTCAATCACCTGGATGCACATTTAAGCAGCGTAGTCTTCACATACTTTCTCACCGATGCATTTACAGACTCCTCTGATAGATCAGGATTACTGGTTCAGAAACTGCTGGACCAACTGTAAAGCCCTATAAAATCCTTTTTATTTTTTTTCCCGGATTCTGGGGGCAATTGTATCACTGAAAACAAAGTCATATTAACCCACTGAATCTCAAATAAAAGCCTAGCTCAAAGTAATCACTTTACTTCTGTAGTATCTAATAGAGCCCGACCGATATGGGTTTTTTGGGGCCAATACCATACCGATATTTGGGCGTAAAAAAAAGGTCGATATCGATATATCGGCCGATATTCTTTGTGTATATTATGGGATCGCTAGATCGGTCGGCGCCGGACCGCGAATTTAACCGCCCGTAACTCCCGAACCCCGGGGGCTATCGCCGCGGGGGTGGTCTCATTCGAAAGAGGGCCTCGAGACGTACACTTCGCGTTCGAGAGAGTTCATCGAGCTGAAGGGATCCCCCCGAATTTGGTGCGGATTCGCTGCGCCGTTATGGAG